AGATATTTAAGTATTTAACATGTGTTATTTGTTTTCAGCTGATATCACGATGCCAAGTGGTAAACGAGACCAACCATCCATCGAGGATAATCACGATGGTACAGTATCACTTAAATACGATCCCAAGGAAGAAGGCTTGCACGAGCTATTCGTTAAGTACAACGGGGAAAACGTTCAAGGTAAATTAATTATCCGCCACAAGTGTGTAATTATTGTCATCAAAGGTACAAATATAACATGGATTTTAGTAATATTATGGTTGTTAGCGTTGGCATTACAATAGTATGAATTTCGAAAAAAAAGTCGTTATATATTATAATTCATGAAAAAGAATTCCAATTTTAGATGTTGCGTTTCTTGCAAATTCATTGCTTGGCTGCTGAAGGTTTTCAAATCTATTTCGATTTCATACAAAAATACTTAACGCATAATATTGTGTGACTAAAACTAAAAAAAAATTATATATAATCCACACGTTAGATTCTCACAGAGAATTATAACCAGCGTCCCCTACACTTCACGTCATTAGTTGTTATAATAGTCACTCACTGCAGTGAACAAAAATAAACTTTGTATTCTCCATCCAATCGCAATAATTATTATGTATATACATCAGTTTTCCGTAGTTTAATATCAGTGTTATTCGGAAAATAATATCCTKTAGTGCTCATTGCCAATTTTTAACATTTGCTTTTAGAAATGTCATTGAAAAAAAAAACGTCATAGACAATAAATCGAAATTTTAAAATGCACGATGAAACTAATTGAAATTAACATTTTCCACCTGAGTATTATTTTACATGTATTTATGGAACTCAGATGTGAATATCATTAAATTACACTTAAAAAGAAAAATATAAATAACATATAATTTATTCTAATATGATATCTTGAGTAATTGAATTTATTTTTATCATAAAACGTACTATATACGAACTCGTATTTGTAATGAAAAACATGTTTTTATGAAATCACCTAAGTATTAAATCGAGCAATTTATTTAGCGTGTTAAATTGTTGACTACAGAGGCAAATAGGCAAATATACTGGCAATATAGTCGCTATAATGTACACGAACACAAAAAAACACAACATATWTATAAAGTTTTTAGGAATTCATCTATGTCACTACAAATTGAACATAAAAACTAAAAATATGCGACAGCCAAAATGTTTTATATTTTTATATGATTTTTTTGTCCTTCAAACTTGACGATCATGACTTGGGAAAAAGTGTATACCTATATTTCAAACAAAAAATATTTAACTAAATTACAAACACAAGTAGCTTGTTTTTATCATATTCCGTTACTGGTTGTCAGGAATAAAATATAATAATAGTGTTATAATATCCTAAGTATTAGGTAATTCTTAAAGTGATAATTGTATTTTATTCTTGAATGCAAATAAAAAGTTGTTTTATCTGTAACAAAAGAGAACTGCTTTTACGCGTGAAAAGTATGTTTCCTTTTTACGATTAATGCATAAGTATTAAAACGGTCTTTCGATTTCAGTAATAAAATATTAATAAAAAAATGCTTTTATATATTGCATGCCATTGAAAAAGCAGTTGATCTTAAAATGTCGTAAATATACAAGGTTAATATAATGTGGACTTAAAAATGGAAACCCACAAAATATGAGCAGATTTAGTGTAACAATACAACAAACGTTATTTTTGCCGTCAACAGGTTCGCCGTTCAAATTCCATGTTGACTCCATCACCAGCGGGCACATCACGGCATACGGACCGGGACTCACGCACGGCGTCAGCGGAGAACCGTCGGACTTCACCATATACACGAAAGGAGCAGGAGCCGGTGTGTACATCAAAATATGATTATTCTTCTTAATTATTTGAATAAATTACAGCTCGATGTCACTGAACCATACGGATCAGTGGCAGATTCGAGTTAGTAGTATTCGCGTCAAAAACCTAACATGACACAACYTAACAAGTTATAACTCAATAAAATTGTGTGGGTGGCATATATAATTTTTATAGAGGTATAGATACTAGACAATTATCATTCTTCCGTTCAATGTAATGGTATTAAATAAATTATGGTTAGAAATAAGTAATAAATATTAACATTATGGTCCTAAAAATAAAAACGATGATTCAATTAATGAAACAATAAATRATCTATAGTTAATATTCGACATTAAATAACTGTGAGACTGTGAATAATTATATAGGTAAGTAATATAAAAATGTAGTATTAATAAAAGCATTTTATTTTTCAGTTATAATATATCTTATTAACTTAATAATATTTTATAACAGATCGTATTTTGTTTTAAATAAAGTAAGTAACTTCATGAAATTAAAAAAAAAACAAGTTAAAATATTTGAGCAAAATTATCGAACGATACAAGTAGAATACTTGAAAAGACTAATGTAAATGATGAATTCAAAACTTTGTGATGCTAAAATAGATGGTCTTAAAGGCCAGACTAAAGATTAATACGAGTTGATTATATAATTAATGAAATCAACAGAATAAATGCTATAATCAGCAGATAATTATAAGCAAGTTGTTGACAGGAAATAACTAAATTAAGTTAAGATCAAACAAAAAAACTAACAAAATTTATGAAGAAATAGCAGAAGTTAAGTGTAATTTGGTATACATTTCTCAGCCAAATTACAATTAACATCCGACATTTTTTTCTTTAATTTTGTGAGTTGTTCTGTTTGATGTTTACTCAATTTCTCAAGCTCACACAATTCTTGATGTTTTGATTCTATTTTTTTATCGAACATTTTTTTATCGCTATCATATTTTTTTAGCTGTGTCRTTATCATCTCCTTTGTTGACTCAGTAGTTTCTTTGATCTTTTTTAGTTCTTCCTGTTGTATTTCTTTCATTGGTTCCAATTGTTTAATCGACTCATTTTCTTCTTGTATCTGACATTTGAGTTTTGTACTCACCATTCGTGCATCACAAAGTTTTGAATTGATACATTTGAKATTTGAGGCAATTGACTTATGCTCCTCTCTAAGTTCTTCGATTTTCTTGTCAATTTCACATTTTTCTTTGCGATGTTTCTCTTGATATAAATTAATTTCCTCTTTTAGTTGTTGCGCTCGATTTTTTTGCTCCAATAGTTCAGCTTGCTTATCTTTTAATTTCAGTTTTAGCATACATAATTCAGAAGATTTTTCATTATATTTACCTCGAATTTCAGTCAAACTGGCCTGCAATGTCTTGGAAATGTTCTCACTTTTCATTTTTAATTCACATATTGAAGATTGCATACACTCATAACGATCTTCCTCAATATTAATATTTTTTTGCACTTCAGTGATCTGTGTTATTTGTTCAGCCATAGCTTTTTGAATGCATATAATGTTGTCTTCTATACCTTGCACTTCCGATTGCACTAATTGATGTCTATTTTGTAACTTAATTGTAATTTCCATAGCTTCTGAAAGTTTCTGTTCTAGTATTTTCTTATTTTCCAAAAGTGTTGAATTGATATTATCTAACTTTTCTATATCCTTCTCTAAATTTTCTAGTTTATTAAGAATTTGCTCATTTTCGCAATTCAAGGAATCATTTTTTTTTTGAATATCTATAAAATGTTGTTCTTGTRTATTATATTTATCACTTAATTCTTTGTTTTCACGTATTAGCTCGTTTAATATGTTAGTTTTTTCAATTTTAATGAAATTCAAATTTTCCTGGCCTTTTTTGAGCTCAGATTTTAGATAATCTCTTTGAGCAACAACATCTTCGTAATCACAAAGCTGATCCTCAAGTTCATCTATGTATTTTTCTGTTTCTTCAATTTTATTTTCAATTTGGTTTGTATTACTCATTATTAATTTGTATAAAAGAAAATTTTAAAATAAAGATTAATATGATGTTGTTTTTGTTTAGAAAATAAAATTGAATTCCTAGTTGCAATAACTTACTTATAAATATTGAATTAAATAAGCCAAAACATTATTTATTTTTTATACAGAAAAWAACATAGACATTTTTGTAATTTTATTTAGGTATAATTTATATTTATATAATTTTTTTTATAATTTTCTGTAATCTTTATGTATGTATCTTTTTGATAAATTTTTCATATCTTTTCTCGTTTCAAAATTATGTCGATATACATATATTTTGAAAAGATTTTATACATATTGTAGTATATACTTAATTTATTAAAATTGTATGAAGTAGTATAATATATTATTGTTATAAAATCAATTTTTTAGACAATAATAATGCTATGCATTTAATTCCGTCTCTAAAATAAGTCATTGGATTATAGATATCATTTGTTTTAGTGGTTAGGTATAGGTATAAGTGGTATGGCCAGATAATAATTGAACATAGCATGGTGTAATAGTTAAACTATACATTAAAACAGTCCTTCWAAAATCTACACAATTTATTACCATCAACCAATCAGAATACGCATTATAAGAAACAAACGTAGTGAAAGTCTTAGAACCAAACTTAAGCTTAATGACTATTTAACAAACCTGTTAGTACTGGCAACGTTTAGGGATGGTCAGACTATATTAATGACTATAACCCATAAAGTCAGCAAGTAACTTTCAAATTTGTCCCGACGGTAAACACTGGTTACACACTGGCACACCAGGTGTTTAATAGGCGATATGGCACTCGAGTTATACACCGGTCGATTTTCAACACCTTCTTCACTTTATTCTTAACATTATTCCTTCGACCAAGTTTTCAAAAAGAAAAACATTCGAAAACATGAGAAGACAAGGAAAAAACAACCAAAACAACCAGACGCTGACGAGCAGTATACCAACTTGTCAACAAGTCATCAGAAACATTCAGCAATATTGACGCCGACAGATATGACTACTAGCATTGAAAGACTTCTCGTACCAGTGAGGAACCTATTCGGACATCGCACACACATTCCGATTTTACGAGTCGATGATCCAGCGTAGCCAGCATTTCTCTGTGACATTTACACTGGTCGGTATTACGACTGGACAGCTACCAATCTTTGCACTGAACTTGAGTAATGCATACAGGCATCGCCACACATACTTTCGTGCGAGTCGACTCTACGCTATCACCAATTGGAAACTAGTAGACACACCGGAATAATTAGCGATCCTCAACAGATTACGACCACCCGTACAAACACGTGAGCAGTTTGTTTGAATAGTCATAAACCGATTGTATCGGCTATGCAAGAGCCAATACTAGACGTTGTCTCGTGAAAAACCATCTGGTATCAAATTACCGTACGAGTCGATCGGACATTCACATGRAGACATCATTTTCACAGTCAATATCATGGCCCATGTACCAGAAACACGGCGTGGCTGCCGCTTAACATCTGGCTCGAACTMACGACGAACAGAATCCCCCTACGTCCTCTCTTGRCCACTTTTGCGAGCCTACCACTCCCGGGTTAGATTCACGGTAGAACTARCTGCCGAGAGCTATATAGTACTTATGGTCAACCCCATTTCCTAATATTGCATGATCCCCAGATCTATTTTGCCTTATATTGCRAATAAGACGGAACTCTTGGCCTGTCACGGAATCACCCCGAACTCGATAGCCCGCTTTCCAGCCTGGCTGCTGTGCTGGCATATTTGTCCCAAGCTTTGTACATAAATAATATCTTACATGGAAATAAACATGYGACCTGATACTATAAAAACAGAGTTGTAAGGCCAAAGAGTTACTTTTTCGATGGTGACTTGAGAACATTGATTGACTATCATTGACCACACTATTTCAATGATAGTAGACTATATTACTATGTACTAACTATGCTCTATTATTTTTAAATGTTTACATTGTAAAAGAATTCATTCACACTTTATTTTTTGGGGAACATAATTGTTATATAATGATGAATATTTKAATGTTCTCATCAACGTAAAATTTTCAATTAGATTATTTTATTTTAAAACTTCATTATTTAATAAAAATTTACTATGGTTTCTAAATAAATATTATTATTCGTAAATCGTGTTGCTTCTTGTAATTTTATACCTGGAAGTGTCGCGTGTTGTTTTTCCGATGTATGCAATTAAAGTTGATATTGTTTTCTTATACATTGCATTGAGTACGGTTAACTGGACTCTCCGAAATTATTTTTAAAAAAAAAAAACTTAAAAAAAACTTATATTTGAATGTAAAAATATGTCTAAACAATTTATTAATAGCAAAAAACCTTACAACATACACTAGATATCGAGATTCAATTTAAATTAACCTATAACAGGGATGGAAAATTCATGGCATGCGAAAAGATTTTATGGATACGCGAAAATTTTTACTATTATATATTAATATATAATAGTAAAAATTTCCATATGTTACTCGACTGAGTACCTAACCTGACCGGTACCATACGGAAAGAAAAATTCGTTATACTGAGAAATGAATTAGAAGAAATTCAGTGTKATAGGGCGATAGGTAAATTGATCCTAAACATAGGAGACAAGATTTTGAAAGTGTGGAATGAAATTCCAAAAGATTATTCCACTTTAAAAATAGTAGCATWTGCTGTTTTGTCTATTTTTTCTTCAACTTATTCATACGAGTTACTATTTCCGAAATGAATTTTATAAGATCTGATTTAAGAAACCGACTAACTGATGAATGCAGTGCCGCATGTACTTTATTAAAAGTTACTAATTATAAACCAAATATCAACAAATTGGCATCAAGTGTTCAACAACATAAATCACATAAAAATAAATAATTAATTATTATTTATTATATATTATTATTTTTATTATGTACCTAAACTAACCTTTTTATAAAAATGCATTAATTATACGATCAATTTTAATAGGTATAACAAAATATAAATACTTTTAATATTTAATTTTTTTAAACTTCTTTTTCATGTCACGCTCTAAAAAAAAAAAAGGTAAATATGAACACGTAGTGTTCAAAAGGTTTGCCATCCCTGACCTATAATGTCCACCTAAAAATCTGTATACTTCACCACCCTCCTTTAAGCTTGAAATTCAGTATCACTAACACAAATATTGATTTAATAAATTCTTCGACTACTGCAGGTGGTCTTTCATTGGCCGTCGAAGGTCCCAGTAAAGCGGACATAAGTTGTCACGATAACAAGGACGGCACGGTTTCTGTCACGTACCTGCCAACGGCACCCGGCGAATATAGGATTTCCGTCAAGTTCGCTGACAAACACATCAAAGGAAGCCCGTACAATACGAAAGTCACAGGTTCGTAGTACCTATCTTTTCCGCAGTACTCAAATCCCTAGAGTACACATTCACTTGCACGCGTGTTTCCTCATAATTTTATTATCTTTATTATACCACCTCAAAAAGGATATTATTTTAGTTTTTTATTCTTATGTAGGTGAGGGCCGGAAGAGAAACCAGATATCAGTGGGCTCATGCAGCGAAGTATCGTTGCCTGGTAAAGTGCTAGACAAGGACTTCCGGTTGTTGAATGCGTCGATCCAAGCGCCGAGTGGTCTGGAAGAACCTTGCTTCTTGAAACGTCTACCAAACGGCAACTTGGGTACATCGTTTTCCAGTTTTAATACYTGGGGAGTACGCGCTTTACACTTAATACATTAACGTTCACGTTTTCAGGTATATCGTTCACGCCTAGGGAGATCGGCCAGCACGTGGTGTCTGTGAAAAGAATGGGCCAGCATATCGTCAACTCACCGTTCAAGATAACCGTAGGTGAGCGAGAAGTTGGAGACGCAAAAAAGGTCAAAGTCACCGGTAATGGGTTAAAAGAAGGCAAAACGCACGTAGAGAATTTGTTCACAGTGGACACAAGGAGTGCCGGTGAGTGATAGTCATATTATGAAATATTGTTATGAATTCATGATCTCATTATATAGAATTTTTTAACAATATAAGTACTTTATTTATCATTAGTCGATATCAGAAGACTRTAAAATCTGGTAGAAATTCACTATAATAGCAGTACATTTATGTTATTATTATAAATCCGATAAAATGCTTTAAAAACAAAAAGGTTACCTAAAAATATTTTGAAAATCAACTTTATTTACTACTCGTTTACACTTAAACTTTTTGTGTATTATCAATTAATTTAATTGATTATATCTATAACCATCATGTATAAAATAAGTAATTACTAACTAATAATCATAAATAGGTACAGAATTTTTTACCGCAGTACGTATGTGAATTATCTACAATAGAATATTTTGTGATTATGTTTGGTATTTTAAACAGCATAATAGAAAAAATAAGCATAAACAGAATCGGCTACGAGTGGTATAGTGTAATGAATATTGTATTGGTAACATCATAAATTCATAAAATGATCGATATCATTTCCCGTTTATGTATAATAATATTATATTGTATATTTTTATACCGTTTAGAAACAATTAAAATGGTAAGAAATTATTTATAATTCTTACGTTATTCAAAAGTTAAAAAAATGTATAGTATTTTATAAATTCAACATTTTTATAGTATTGGTTTGGAATTTTTTATGATAAAATCATTTTATGTGACTTAAGAGAATGTGATACCCACATGTGTGTTAGCTTAAAAATTAGAGTGAATTGACCTTTAATAAAATTTAAAAGTTAAGAATATTCTTTAGACGACCTCATGGACTTTTTATTATATTTTAATTTTAAAGAAAATTACGTTTATTTTATGATATACAAACAATTTACAAGTTTGAAATACTCATAACTCGCTTTAAAATAAAAATATAATAGAAAGCCCATGAGSTTGTCTAAATAATATTCTTACCTTTAACTTTTATAATAAGTCAATTTACTCTAAGTTTTAAACTAACGGAGCTAAATGAGATCCATTGAGCGTAAAATATTTTGTTATGTTATATAAGCACTTGTAAGACAAATACATAAAACAATACATGCCGGTGTTACATCCTCCTAATATAAAAATAATAATTCAATTTACGTTATTCGTTTCGTATAATCATTGWATAATAAACTATTTTTCACAATTTCTGTAGAATAATATTATATGTCCATATTATCTAGGTTATGGTGGATTATCGCTTTCCATCGAAGGTCCAAGCAAAGCAGAGATCCAGTGTAAGGACAACGAAGACGGTACATTGAACATATCGTACAGGCCCACAGAACCAGGATATTATATCGTTAATCTGAAGTTCGCCGACCATCACGTCGACGGTTCACCCTTCACCGTTAAAGTCACCGGCGAAGGAAGCAATTGTCAGCGCGAGAAGATCGAACGGAAACGCGAAGCCGTACCTCTCACCGAGGTGGGCAGCAACTGCAAACTCACGTTCAAGATGCCGGGTAAGATAAAATATAACAATTATTTTTTTTTAAACCTTAAAATTTTTTGGTTTTATAAAAAGGACATAGGTGGTCCTCTGATTTCAAAGATCATAAATGTCTTGAAATGTCCAAAATATAATGAGTATCATAAATGTGATAAATCCTATAATATTTTGAACCATTGTTGTGGAACTCATCTCAATGTAGTCAAGTTGATAAACTTAATAAACTTCAAAGGTGCTTTATTTATATGTTTATTATCAAATGAGTTTCACAAATGTGTTAATTTTTGATATTGCTTATTCCATTGATTTAGTATTTTTAGCTAAGCGACGCATTAAAACTTTAATGTAGGTACACAATTTGGATAAACGATTTGTCCTAAATTATTATGTATAATTAAGTTCTATATCCCGGTATTCATTTCTAAAAATAACTAATGTTTTGATGTCTTCTTTTGATACTAAAAATTATAATGTTAAGATATTGCTTATCGTGTAATATTAATTAGAGAACTTTTATTTTAAATATGATTTAATTTCTATATTTTAATTATATATTTTAAAATGAATGAAAATAATAATCATATATTAATTGTCTGTTTATCAATATTATTTTAATATTCTATAATAACTTTAGTCCTTGCTGGTGATAAACCATAAAATAAATAAATAATTAATTAAAACGGTCTTTAAACATTTTTCGACGATATTAGGGACGATTAATCAGCTTTTGTTCATTATTATGAATGCGTTATTTTCCTGCTCTAATTTTATTTTATACGCACATTTTAGGTGTGTTGCCATATGATTTGTCATCGACGGTGACATCGCCGTGTGGTATTACGGAAGATGCTGAAATCAACGAAATCGAAGACGGCCTCTACGCGGTACACTTTGTCCCAAAGGAATTGGGTGTGCACACGGTGTCGGTTCGGTACAAGGAAGTCCACATACCTGGTAAGTATTAATTGAAGTCGTAGTTATATCCAAAACAATTAACGTTGACCGTTCGTCTTACTACTCCAGGATCGCCGTTCCAATTTACCGTCGGTCCTTTAAGCGATGGCGGAGCTCATCGCGTACACGMTGGAGGTTCTGGTCTGGAACGTGGTGAACAAGGACAGCCATGTGAATTTAACGTGTGGACCAGAGAGGCCGGGCCGGGTTCACTAGCCATATCAGTCGAAGGTCCTAGCAAGGCGGAAATCGATTTCAAAGATCGCAAGGATGGTTCATGTTATGTCAGTTACGTCGTAGGCGAACCAGGTTTGTTTACATTTTATTTATTTATTTTATTAAAAGCACATCCAAATATTTAAAATGTTAACATTACTAATTTGTATTGATTCAAGTATAAATAAAATGATATCATGACAATTTTTAACGCATGAAAACAAAAACATTGAATTTATACGACATATTTCAATGTTTTCTGTTAAAAGCAGTCGAAGACTTAATAATATTAATTATGAATACATTCACTTAAATGATTATATTATTATCTTGTTCAAATTTATTTTTACTTTAAATTGTATTCTTCTATACAAATGAATAAATAAATAAATGACAATATGCATATTGCATATCATAATGTGATACTATATATCGAAGGCTCCAAACATTTTCAATTTTATAGGAGAATACCGAATCGGTATTAAGTTTAACGACCAGCACATTCCGGACTCACCATACAAGTTGTTTATATCACCAGCAATGGGTGAAGCGCACAAACTTGAAGTGGCGCAATTCCCGACGTCCGGAGTCCAAGCCGATTACCCAGCTCAATTCATTGTTCGTAAGAACGGCGCTGTTGGTCAACTCGACGCCAAGGTTATTTATACCAATGATAATATACTTATATTAAATATTTATTCATTAAGATCATCGTGAGATAAAAATTAAAATAAATAGGATGTGAAATTTGATGTACCTTGAATTTTTTACTAGCTACGAGATACTTGTCTTATAATTCATATTTTTTATGTATTTTTGAATCTGAGTAACATAATTTGTATATTGCAGCTTTTTGCTTTTTTTGATAACTTTTAATTTTAAGATAATTTAAAAAAATTGTTTTTAATTATTAAGAGTATTTTTTTGGATTTTTAAGGCATTCGACGCTAAGATCGAGATTAAAATATAATTTAAAGATGTAACGTGAATAGTTTACATGATAAAACAGGTATTATTAATTGTTATTTTTTAAACAAAAGTCTTGATTACGAGTGGTGACAGTAAATTAAATGAGAATAATTATTTCTTTATTTGAAAATCAACAAAGAACACATGTGCAATTTTCAACTTTTTTAAATTTAATTAATAATATTTTTTGTTTAGAACTTGTGGAATTAACAAAAACAAAGAGAATTTTTTTTTAATTTGTAGGGTATGAAATTCTCAGAATTTAATTCTCCTAATAATAATTATCATTCGTTCGAAATGTCTATATTTTTAATATGGTAGCCCATTCGGCTCCCGTTTCTCTAAACAGCTCCAGTTTTACAAAAATGTCAATTTCCAAACGGCTTCCGTTAAAAAAGTCTAACGAACAGGTAAATTTCTAAACGGCTCAGGTGTCAGGTTGTTTACAACACAAATTCATTCTCCAATTATACAGACTTAGAATTGTCTTAAAAGGGATACACTTAGCGTAAACTACGTACACTTTTAAAATTGTATAAAAAATAGCTTATAGTATAGGTAATATTTAATTTTTAACGTTAAAAAAATATTTAAAAATGTAAAAAATGTTCGTATGAATAAAAATACAAAAAAATCATATGTTGGGTAAATTTGTTCGTAATTTATTGTTGTATAGTCCACGCATGCTGTTTTATTTGATGAAAACTCGTAAATTATTTTTTCGATGGGTTTTAGATTTTGTTTTCGATCTCAGTTTAGTAAAATGACTTCGAGTTTTAATTTGCATATCAGAATTTTCAATGCATCCCATATTTTCAGTATTCCGTTTTATACATTTAAAATTTAAAAATTTGATACACAGGAACTATATATATACTATATGTATAACAACAGCATTATGAGGAGCGTAATAATTTCGCGCAGTTATTATGTAGGCTGCTTTGGAAGATAAGCCTGAATGTGTCCAATAATTATTGTAGAGAATAATTTTACAATTATAAGCCTGTTTGTACCTACATTTTTTTTCAACGGGAGCCGTTTGAGAATTAACCTGTTCGTTAAATCTTTTTTGATGGGAGACGTTTGGGATCCGACGATTTTTAATTTTCATCGACGCATGAATTAATAACGGACTGATATAATTTATTGTTTTTAACAAGTGCGTGCACAATTGATATTTTGCAGGTTGTGTCACCGTCCGGTACAGAAGACGACTGTTTCATTCAATCAATCGATCAAGATATGTACTCTGTCCGTTTCATGCCCCGTGATAATGGCGTTCACAACATACACGTCAAATTCAACGGCGTTCACATTCCAGGATCACCATACCGTTTGAAAGTCGGCAAAGGAGACGCCGATCCTGCTGCCGTCCACGCCACTGGCAGTGGTTTGGGAGATGTCAAGACAGGTACTTAATAATAAATTTAACATAGTAACCTACACTCGTCAAATACGATATCTATAGGATTCACATTAGAACGAAAACATTGCAAAATAATTAATTCCAGTTTTTGATTCAATCCATTCGAATTTGGTTTCTTAAGTTATAACTGATCTTTTTATTTACTTCTTCGATCAAAAAATAATATGAAAAAACTAGATACAAAAACAACGAAATTGTTAGTTATAAAAAATTTCAACCAAGCTCTTTTTTTATGAATGTGTTATACTAATTAAATTAAATCACTACCTACTGTATCTTGGAGTAAGCTCCAAGGTTACTAAAAAACTACAATAGATGACCAAATAATTTTAGAATTTAATTAAAATGTATTTTATATTAGTTTTATAAAGATGTTTTTTTCACGAATTATCATTTTTTTTGCGAATATTTTTTTAAAACTATGATTAGATCAATCTCAAGATAAAATTAATATGAAAAATTGTGAACTTTCAGTCTTTAGTTGATTATGAAATATTCATTACTGGTAAATATTTTAGGACACAAGACGGATTTTATTGTAGACACTTGTAACGCGGGTGCCGGTACATTGGCTGTAACTATTGACGGGCCAAGCAAAGTTTCTATGGACTGTACCGAAGTCGAAGAAGGTTACAAAGTCAGGTACACGCCGTTAGTGCCAGGCGAATATTACATAAGTTTGAAATACAATGGATATCATATTGTTGGTTCGCCGTTCAAAGTCACATGTACTGGTACGTTATATCTTATGTGTAACATAGAAAAAGATTTTCGGTTGTTGGTTTCAACTAGATAATGACTCTCCACAACTTATATTGTTGGTTGTGCTCGTGTTGATGACTAATTGTTTGATATATGTTAGGAATATACTAACGTCTAACATATTGTATTATTTTGTAAACAGTATAATATTGTAGACATGGCAAATAAGATCATATTTGTCATAATTGTAGAGACAACATAGTTTCTGCGTGGTTGTGACATGGACGTCCGCAGGAGGAGGGCAAATGGGGTATTTTCTCTACCTTAGAATTTTAAATTTGTTTTCTAAAGCATTAAAATGTAAGGATTAAATATTTGAAAAATCTTAATTTATTTTTAAAATTAATTTCTTCCCCCTGGAAAATGTCTATAGACGCTATTACTGAAGTAAGCTCATCGTCGTTTTTTCTAGACATTTTTTCTTATCGATAAGAAGCTTATTTCAGCATTTACCAATATATTATTTTGTATTTATATTACATTCAACTTTTTTTATAATATATATCCTTTCAGTMTTACATAATGATTTATTATGAAACGAACAGTATTGTTAATTAATTAACCATTGCAATATTATTTGATGTGTTTACAAAACTTGTAATTGAATACAGATAATATTGTATTAGTAACTATTACCTATTAAAAATTAATCTTAGTACATAACTACTCTTTCTTGGTTTTTTAAATGCGATTCTGTTATAAGCACTTATTACAATTTATAATAACTTTATGGTTTTTATATTTACGCAATAGTTGTTTACCTATTTTTATGAATTTTTGCATCGAGTTAAGTTTACAATTCATTTGTTTGTTGAAATATTAATTTTGTAGTTTTAATATAATACAATTCTATATTCATCAAAATTATCGAGTTAATTCAATTATTAATACTTAATTAAGAACAACATCATGATATAAATGAAATACGATAATGAAGACTTTTTAAAGCTGCGACATGGGCTATTTGGGTATATTGAAGATTACGGTTGGTGAAGGATTCGTCGATAAGAATCTAGGTGGTAACCTTTAGATTGTGTTCCAGCAACACTAGATGATGCTTTTCCGATGTACACATAAATGGCCACCCAATCAAAGATAGATGTTATAGCTTATATAAATTGATTTGCATTATTCACTGTTTTTTTTTTTTTAATAACATCTGAATATTTTTTCCTTGTATAGTGTCGATGATAACACAAAATTAAATGGTTTGATCATTTGCAGGTGAGGATTTGGCTGAGCGTGGGCCACAAGAAACAAGCTCAGTTGTTGTGGAAACTGTACACAAAGTTTCTAAAGCTCACAAGGGTGGAGCTGGTGTCGTTTTACCACACTTTAAATCGAACGCCACACTCGTCACGAGTAAAGGAATGGGCTTGAAGAAAGCGTATGTGGGAAAACAAAATCTATTCAGTATAAGCGCTACTGATGCCGGTAAGTCTTTATAGCATAGTAGGGTCCTGAATTTGAAATATTTCAGTTGACATTTTTCAATTGAAATTTATTGAAATTTATAATTTCATTTTTCTGTAAATATTTCATTGAAAGTATTATTATTATTATTATTATTTAACGTCTTTAGTTAGAGAAGGTGGTTGATTAAGAATAATAATCGATCACGCATAAAAACTATCGATATTGAATGACTAAGGTCTATGAATTACTATATGGTTGTAAATTAGGTTTTAATGGTATAATCAATTGTACACCCTATTGGATATCATTTATTATTTTTTATTTATTAGTATTTAATACAATAAAACAACTGTTAAAAATATTATATTATGTTAGTTTATACGCTTTTAGATTCTATAGGCAATTCTTAAATTTTTACACAAATTAAATAATTTATATAAGTTTTATGAAATAAATATATCTAATTGGTTAATGACAATCTCTGATAATCTTTCAATCTTTTTAGTAATATGATGTTGGTCTGTTAGTTATATTAGATTTCAAATGATTTTTCTCGTTCACTGATATAATTGTAAGCAAATGTATGAATCCACTAAAATATTACTTATATTTTACAGGCAACAATATATTATTCGTTGGTATTTACGGACCTAAAGGACCATGTGAGGAGATATTTATCAAACACATGAAACAGAACAACTACCAAGTGAGCTATATCGTCCGAGAACGGGGCGAATACATTCTTCTGGTCAAGTGGGGGGATGATCACATACCCGGTTCACCGTTCAAAATCGAAACATAAATCTAACGAAATAAATAAAACATAAAAAAAAATTTAAAAAAAATTAATGAAAAAATACAATAATTCGAAACTAGAAGACATCAATCTAGGATGAACAAGTGGATTTAGATGATCATTATCATTACCATAATCAAAAACAAGAGGAAGAAACGTGCAACAGGCGTCGTTCCATCGGGATAAAAATACGATTCTACCGGATTTATGCAGTAATTATTTATAATTGCTACAATTTATACTGTAATTTACTACTACAAAAGAAAGAACATTTTCATTCGTTTTAGCTAATAATTATTTACGTTTATTTGAATTTCGAATCTTATACTATTTATTTTATATACTTCTCATTACATACGTATTATAATGTTCGTTAGTCAGAATATTAATCATTTTATTTATTTATATTATACTATTATTATTCAACATTGTAATAAGTTATTATTCAACGAAACGTTCCGTAAGACTTAATATTGATTTGCCTGAACCATAATTATCTAATATTATACCTAATATTAAATACTTACCTACTTCAAAATAGCATCGTCATCTAACCAATTATTAAATAACGTCTTGTGTGGTTTAAGGTATATTTAACATATGGCTAACCACTTCGTATCTTGGTTATTTGTACTGATTCACTATGATTTTATACAACATATACATTAATATTAGACCTAAATATATTTATACAAAATGGGATACCTGTAAATAAAGATTATATATCATTACGTTAAATATCGTATTATTTTATCAGAGTATAGCACTGCATCTAAACAACGACATCCTTTTAAAAACCAAAAAAAAATTTAATTTAAAATATTTGTAAATATAAATGAGTAATATTATTTTAAAAATGTTATCGAGTATAGAAAATGATAAAATAAATATTTGATGACAATTTAAAGTACCTAGAGATTTTAGTTTTTGAATAACAAGAATAAGAATATAAGAAAATTAATTCAATGTACACAATTAAAGTTGAAAGTTTACAATATTTTGAACATATTTAGAATAMAAAATAAAATAACATAAATAACACTTGATTATTCAGACAACTATAATTTATTTGTTATACATTTAAAAATAAGTTATAAAAATCAAAATATAATTTTAAATCTATAATACTTATCTTTAACTTCGCCCTTTGTCTTCCTTACAACTATTTTTTTGAAGTCTGACACCTTTATGGCTTTGTCTTTTCCTCATTATCGTTATCTGTATAACTATTATTATTATGTGTTGATGCCGTATGAGCTTACGGATTTTTGTGTAGTTGTTATCGGACAAGCAATCGGTTCCAACACTCGAGAAAAATATACTATTTTGTTAGATAAAATTATTCTATAAAAGTCAAACATTTTGGTTCATTCGAATTGGATTGACTAACAATAACTTATGTTACTATGTACCGCGAATTCGTTATTGTACAGTGGATGAAATAACTAATGGACTTATAATTGTTTATTATCTAGATCAAATTTTTGAAGTGTGTGTTTTTTGTTTCTTTTTGGCTATAAATATAAATATAACGTCCTCACGGATACAATGACCGTGCAGTGGTAATATTATAATTTATAATAGTCAAATCGAACATCCAAAAAAGGAAACAATTTTCCAAGTGTTCCTGTTTTTTATATGACTATACATTCAATATACAACCCAAAGGTGAGTGAGCTAAAATTATTTATTAGAAAATAAGGGCGTTGCAACCATGGTTTCCACTCATTTTCCTTTAGGCATATTCTTTAAAAACGTATACACATTACACAGTACATATGTACATATTCATAAAATATATAAATACAATTTTTATAAGAATTGAAAATATAAAATATGGGAAAAACCAATAGAAAAAAAACATAATGATACAGAGTGGTTAGTCAAATGAATTGACCGTCTACATATTGAGGCGAGGTCAACTAAAGGTGCAACTGACCAAATTCCAAACATATAGGTATCAATAATGTTAATGTAGATGTGGATAACAATGTCATGCAGATAAAGATACGTCTAGAGAAAATTAAAGAACTTTGGACTAAGTTTGATGTWGTCCAAAATAATATAGAAGCAATAGATATCACTAATGACTAATGAGCAAWTGGACTATAAAGATACGTTTGTAAATTGATATTTTGATATGGTTCAATGGTTGTAAAGGCAGAGAATACGGTACAAATTTCAAACTTAGTTTRTGRCATAAACAGGTTGAGTATGTCRGACAGTCATACGCAAGTAGGCAGCTAGAATAACCGTCCTTTTMGGAAAAATTTGAAGAGTGGTCAACGTTTTAGGATTTATTTTTGTCCATGGCACATTTAAATCCAACTATAGTATAGACTATAGGTGTGCAAAAAATGTATTTGCATGGGGACCCATTGACTCCGATACAAAAATTAGGAACTACAGGTTACGATTACTCGATTGCATGGAATATCGTTGTTGGACGGTACGATAATAAGCGTACCTATTCTCATACAATCTTATACAGAAAATATGTATGAATTAGAATCTATGCAAAAATAGTCAAGTGTATGTTTAAGAAAGTTTACGGCTGATTTAAATATGAATACGCAAGCGTTTAAAGCGTTAGGTCATGATTCAGAGGCCTGGGAGGCATTATTATTGCATGTGATTTTGGTAAAATTAGATTATAATGCAATACGCAATTGGGAATCAGTAGTGACCAGAGATACGTTACCTGCTATAGCGGTGGTGATTAAATTTTCAACTAAACGATATCAATTATTAGAGGTGATTGATATGATACCTTAAAAATGTATCAAATAAATTAAGTACCATCATCRCATTATACGCAGTCTAATCAAAATTATCGCAATCCAAATGATCAAAACATGGAATTTAAAAATAAAAAAAAGGTAAACGCTAAGCTAACTAACTTTATTGGAGAAAATTTATACCGAAAACCTGCTCTACGATGCGCTCTTTCATTAAAAAAAAATAATCATGAAGTTCTGATAAATAGTTTCAGAGTTTACCTCATACACAAATCTTCATTTCACATTTATATAGTTAGATTATCATGTTTATATTTTTTTCCATATGCAATATGCTATATAGAAAATATTCACAGTATACAATGAAAAAATTATTTTTATTCAAGTACAATTTATTCAACAATAAAAACATATCAAAAGTACATGACAATATACAAATGATTTTATCATTACTCATAACGTCTATTTGTACACCAGTTATTCAATTTTATTGCATTTTAGAAAGAATAAAAAACGAAAAATTAATACAAATAAAACAATAGTAAAATATTATCTTCATAGTTGTTCTTATTATCATTATTACTATTTTTATCATTAATAGTACGTATATAAGTTTTGTTCGAGATTCGATTTCCGAAGTCAGCGCCCTTAGACAATCAATGTATAACGCGTTATAATAATGGTACGCAATGGATGACTATAATAATTTTTTCAAAGCACAGACCTGTGCACTAATATGCAGCGAACGCACTCTCGTCTTTCATTGCACCTGACAATTTTATTTGGATTTAGTGCACCGGTGAAAATGATTTATTTCATATTTATAAGGCTTAGGTCAAAATTAATAAGAATTAAAAATTAAATTTAAATAAAAATATCCTTCAACGTTAATCGGTTGAAAAGTGATAAACATATTAATTATCAAAGCGAAAGTTCTAAAAATAGATGAGTTTTATATTGATTGACATATTCGCACACAACGTACATCAAGGGCGTCCTAAGGCATCCATATTTAGGAAGAGGGGAGAGTAGAAACTAAACATATAAACTCAGTCTTTGCTTATTATATTATTTAATATTTAGTACCTATTTACCTATTAAATTGCTTAATACAATATATACATTTATTTTTATTTTTATTTTTATTAACGTATTTTAAGATGATGTATCCAAATGTGAGATTTCCGTCTTAGAGTCTTAGAGATGACATATTTTACGTTCAGTATATTACCTTGTTATTTTTAATGTTATAGTTTATTCACCTACTATTAAAGTTAAACGTTAAACTATTATTATGTGGGTGTCAATTAAATTCATTTATTTGTATTTTAATTTTAAAGMAATTTTGAATAAAATTTAAATTTGTTTGTATATGCATATTTTTTTTTGGTCATAAATTATGTCATACACAAAATATTTTCCATGAAGGTGTGACTAAAAATACGATTGTTTTTAGAGTATATTTTTCACTTTTAAAGCCATATTTGATCCTTTAAAAATTTGAAATTAGTTCTAAGTCTATTTCATCAATAATTTTTAAGAGGACAAACACGGTTACATTTCGTTCTCTAGTTTCAATAATGTCCTGTTAGTTTGAATATTAAATTTAGTTGATCTATTATCAAACTTTTAGTTGAGAAAATTATCTATGCTCAATCGTCAGCAATTTTTCCCGATTTTTAAATTTTCAGGTAAGATATGGGCAAGTAAAATATTACTAAGTACTAAGTATTACTAAGTAAAAAATTGCTCATAATTTGTATGAAAATCCAACCTGTACTCAAGTAGTACAGATAATGTCTTACTCTAAAAGTTTGATAATAGGTCAATTCACTTTTTACTATCCTTTATTAATTGATACGAGGTATATTTTTAATATTTAATAATTGTTGATGAAAACATTAAATTTAAATTCGTTCATCAACTGTTGTGAACGCTAAATGTAGATATATCCACTCCGAAAATCAAAATCGTCAACATTAAAAACTAAAACTTCCTATACAAATAAATGATTAATTTCTTATTTTTATTTTTTTCTATACAATTTATTTTAATTAYCATAAGCAATTCAAATAAAAAACTTTGCTTTGAATTGTTAAAAATCGGGTCTTATGGGTATATTTAGCCATTTTATCGGCAGGTTTTACTTTGTGGGTATTTACCACATAAAAATTCAAGCCCTAATTATAAGTATTTAATTATTTAAAAAAATGTTTAATTTAAAAACTATGCTTATATCACTAACTTGTTTTTAAATTTAAATATCGAAAAATCACTAATCAAGACTCTAGGTAAAATTCTTACTTTTAATGAGGTAAAATTACTTTAGCATTAAAAATAACAAAGTAAAATGGATGGTTGATCTTAATTTTTTATGTATTGTTCGTTCATTAGACAACACATTTTGCATGACTCAACATCCTCTCAAGAGATTTCGAATACAGAATTTTTTCCTCATAACATAATTAAGCAACAAAATGTAATGTAAACTTACTTATGTAATTTAACTTAATTACTTATTAGTTATTACATAGTAACCAGTAAGAATATGCGTTTATAATCATTCACATAAAATTTTATCAATACATTCATGTAAATTAGAAACAATTGAGTCACAGAATTAACTAAGATTAACCATAAATAAATAAGATTTTTTTAAACTTACGAAATATGTGAAGGTGGGACCTCCAACTTTTCCACCCTTCGAAGACGCCCCTGACGTATATGTACCTCATGTACATTATTATAATATTTACAACCATCGTAAGCGACACGGCCAGAATTTAAATATGTCCACGACCTTATTTGGTTCGATATGCATTATACTCAATCGAATGACAATTACTATTGTATCTTACGCACATTAATTTACCTAAGCCATAATGAGAAAAATAAGAAAATAAGTTGCATGCTTATAATTCAATAATTATTGTTCTGGTCGGAACCAGAGCTGCACTAGAATGACATACAATCCCGCACAAGCCGTGATTTAAAGCAGTGGTCCCCACTAGGATTTCGAAACCTGCCAAAATGCCAAAAATTATTTAAGGCTGCATGCATTTGCATTAGCATTCACGCATACCATTGACACAAAAATAAAATGACCTTTGTGAGTATATTTTTCCACCGGGTGTAAAGATTTAGGTACCTACATAGTTCAATTTTGAATGATAACGATTATAAAATATAAAAGTTAAAAAATGTTAGTTTAATATAAGTACTTTATTTTATTTCCTTAAGTGTAGAATTTTGAATTTTAAAATGTAAAATTCAGTTTTAGTGCGTTTTTAGACCACATAGATTTTTTTAAATGCCACGTAGTGTGGACCGCTGACTTCAACAATAAACACCTCTGCATTATGATAATACCTACGATGGTTGGGCATATCTATACAAATGATTATAAAATAATAAATGTCCATTTAAAAAACAGTTTKAACCAGTGGCAAGGTGATCTTGACATTTTTTCTGAGGTTAGTTTCTAATGCTTCACTTCCACCCTACAGCGCTGATAACCCGAGGAAGGCGAGTTAACTGTCGTCATATTTGTAACTTCCTCTTCTAATTGATACTAAAATAAGTACTATAGTTAATATCATAAACAACCATGTATAGCAGGTTATTTCCGGTCCACCACCCCTTAAGAAACTCGGAGACGGTCACCTTTCGATTACCTCTTCACCACACCACTGGTTTAAACGTTTTACAGTGTGGGTTCGTTTGCATATGATCCTATTTGAGCGTACATGTTCCGCACATCGTAACGCAAATGCTGTTCCCGATTGTTGTTGTCTTCGTTGGTTTTGTTCGGTAAATGTCCGTTTTGACGTGGCACTGCTGGCCCTGAAACCACGTGTCCTACCACCACGGCTGGCGTGGTTTGTTTTTCTGGGTCGATGTCAGTGTTGACGTCGTCACCGTGGTCGTCGTCATCCCTGTGGAAAACTGGAAAGTTCTCGCCCTTCATTGTCTCCACAAGCGTGCTGATGAACGTCTCTTGAACTCGCTTATCGTCGGTGTTACCGTCCACCTGAGGAATTAAAACACACACATCTCAGTGAATTCAGAATTCAGACATTTTTTAAGGATCCTCTGAACCTCACCACGGAATCTTAATTTCAAATTTAAACCAACTGATTAATAAAGCAGTTAAGTTAAATAAACATTCACACATTTTATCTAAACGTTCACTGATTATAAAAATTTAAGTTTATATGATTYTAATTTTTATTAATTTAATTATTACAAAACCAAAAATTAGCATACCTACTAAGTATTACATTTACAAAAAAAAACCATAAAACTATACAACCCTGAAATACTGGAAAAAGAACAGTCTTATGGTATTCATAAAAACACCCAACTGTAATTTAATTTATTTTAATTGAAACGAAAATTATTTATTATTATTATTATTATTATTATAATTAAACCGAACAAAAATAAAATTAAACTCCACAAAACAGAAAATTTGAAACTTAACAGATACTTTGAGTGAAACATGGTGATTATTGACCTCCGTGTCTTATTTAGTCTGGAGGTGTTGATAAACCTTGAATAATACATATATACCTATATATATATTGTAACGTAGTATGACATAAATTGTCCTTTTCAGGACCACTAACGACCAATAAGCACACTTAATGACGCAACAGGTATTACATCCACAATCCACGATCCGCACCGTCACTAACCTATTGACAACACACATCGCCGGAATCATAACAACCTCTTCCCGACGCCACATGAAGTCTAGCAACACCGGAATACATAGGAAAAACCACCCACTGTACCAGGGGATTAGCCGAACCCTCCCCCC